GATAGATAGATAGATAGATAGATAGATAGATAGATAGATAGATAGATCTATATACTGTATACATTTGATCATAATTGTAAATATATTTTTTTCCTTTGGTTGTGATTATTTTTTGGAAAGTCTAGAAAATTCAAATGATGTTTTACTTGTTTTGCAAACATATGACACTTCTACCTGGATGTTTTTTTTTAATCAGTCCAAACAAAAGCACAAAGACAAAAATGGTCCTCCTGAGCGAAATGGCAAACGTGGTAAACATGGAATGCGTGACAAAAAGAGATTGAAGTATAAAGACATCGTTGAAGGTTAGTCCTTTCTTCCTGGGAATTTTTTAACACAGCATATTACATACAGCATATTACATTTTACCTGGGAGAAAGACAAACACATTTTTCTCAATCTGAGGGAAAAAAATCTTGTTTCAGACATCATCTTCGCAGCCTCGTTAGATGATGACGATGATGATGACCAAGGAAATATGGACTGGCTTCTTGATCTTCAGGAGCCTGAGGGTAAGACAGTTATTACTGTTTTGGTGTTCTATCAAACTTTCATTCCAAATTGCGACACATTTTATGTTTGTATCAGACGGTTTAAATTATTCAAATATCAAATGTTCCTACTTGTGATTTTTCAGGTAGATGCAATCCAAACCCTTGTCAAAATGATGGTGTGTGTGAGGAAAAAGGCAGGAGAGGATACAAGTGTGACTGTCCTAAGCCTTTTAAGGGAAGAAAATGTGAAAAAAGTCAGTAAACAATCTCTTTTACTTTACAGTATTGCTCAATGGTATGCTGTTAAACTAAAAACAAAATACAAGAATCTGTGTTATTGATTCAGGACCAAGAATTTGTCGAAGGGGGAAATGTGGACGTGGCGAGTGTGTGCTGACTTCAACTCCTCCATTCTATGAGTGCAAATGCAAAGAGCCCTTCCAGCCACCAGACTGCAAAGTTGGTAGGGTACATCCATTTTTAAATGAATAGGACAGAGATACTCCAGGACACATTTGTTAGTTCCCAAAAGAAAACTTAATCTTTCATCCTTTTCCATTTCAAGTGGCGGTGTGTGAGCCAAATCCCTGCAAAAACGGCGGCCAGTGCATTCAGGATGGTAATGACTTTGACTGCCAGTGTCCCGAAGGATTCAGTGGACGTTTCTGTCACGTTGGTAAATCTTTCCCCTGTGGTTTTGGTTGAAACACTAATAGCTCAGTTGATCTTTCCTTACCATTCATAAATGCCTGGATGTGTTATATTTTTCAGGCCCAGACGACTGTTATGTGGATGATGGGGAGACATATCGTGGAGTTGTGAGCGAGACGGATGACGGCATTGACTGCCTCTACTGGAACTCTCATTTCATCCTTGAAGGTGGCGCAGACCCCTTCAACTCCTTTGAAGACAAAGACGGACTGGGCCCTCACAATTTCTGCAGGTATTAGGACAACAAATGGTAGCAGCGGAAGTTCACTGACCCTTTGGACGAATAGAGGAAGCTCAGTTGCACGTTTTCTGTCATGCAGAAACCCCGATGGAGAGCCGAGACCCTGGTGTTTCTACAGAAGAGGCCGCCGTTTGCTTTGGGACTATTGTGATGTAGCACAGTGTCTTCAGACAACAGGTCACCTTTCCACAACCAGACAAACATCTAAATCTGAATGTAATCTGAAGGATGTGCGGGATCCTTATGTGTTTGTGTTTTCAGAAGTGGTGCCGACTGGAGATCCTCAACCTACTTCTAGGCCGGCAGAAACCACTCCACCAACAGCCGTGGTCACTGAAAAGGAACCTGCTGTTAAGCCCACAGATCCTTCAATCACCCCTGGTGACCCCAGTGCACCAAAACAATTTCTCACATGTGGCATGCCTCAGCCCAAAAAAGCCTTCACTCGAATCTTTGGGGGTCTAAAAGTATCTCCAGGAGCCATACCCTGGCAGGTGTCTGTTCAGGAGAGGCCAAAGAATTCAATCTCGCCACACAGACCCATCTGTGGAGGAGTTCTTATTTCCAGTTGCTGGGTTCTGACGGCTGCACACTGCATGTAGGCATGCCATGCACAATTTCGTCTTCACTTGCTCTCAAATTGTACTTGACCTGGAACGTTTGCATTTCCACAGTGATAAGAGCAAGGAGTTGCAGGTGGTCATGGGAAGCCTCTCACTGGACAGAGTGGAACCCACAGCCCAGACTGTCGAAGTTGAAAGTTCTATTGTGCATGAGAACTACAGGGAAACGCCTGAAGCTGTTTACAATGATATAGGTAATGTTCCTCTGCAGACTTCGCCCTTTGTAGTTCAAAATGATCATACTGATAGTGTCTACAATGAAGCCATTTCTCAATTCTGCTTATGTTATTAGGGTTACTGAGGTGATGAGTGTTGGATGTAAAACCAAAGATCTAATTTTTCCTTAAATTAAAAAAAAATTGTGTTCTTTAAGCCTTGCTGAGGCTCAAGGGGACTGATGGATTTTGTGCCAACGAGACGCAGTATGTAAAGACAGCCTGTCTGCCGGACGCACAGCTCCCTGATGGAACGGAGTGTACCATCTCCGGTTGGGGTGCCACTGAGACATGTATGTACAACAATCACTTTTGCGCATATCTATTGGTTTCTGCCAGACTTATCCCGGCTGACAAGCACACAACTGCTTAAACTATTCTTTACATGTTTCCCTTTTTTTGGTGTTATTTTCCCACTTCGTCTCTGCAGCGGAATATGGTTCCAATCACCTGCTGGAAGCTGATGTGCTACTGATCGGCCAGGAAAAATGCTCTGAACCCAAGGTTTACGGCAAAGTCCTGGATAATTCCATGTTCTGTGCTGGCTATCTGCAGGGAGGGGTTGATTCCTGCCAGGTCAGTCAGCAAAACCACTATGCTAGTTCTTTGCTGCAGTGAAATGACATTGAAAACACATGGTTGTCTGGTTTCTTAAAGCAGTTGTAAAAATGTAAGCATTTTTGCATTTTCCATTTTAATCGGGTTACATCTTGTTTAAGGGGGACTCTGGTGGACCACTGACTTGTAAGGAGAACAACACCAGCGTTGTTCATGGGTTGGTCAGTTGGGGAGATAAGTGTGGAAGCAAGAACAAACCTGGAGTCTACACACGAGTCACTGAGTTCCTGAACTGGATCAAGTCAAAGATGCAAGCTTCTCCTTAAACATTCCCATGCTATTTTCCATCAACATGCCAACGTTGTTTAGAATGGAAACTTATCATGACTGGGCTTTTGAGTGATCTATACTTCAGTCTTATTTTGCTGGTGATATGTGATTTATGATAAATCACATATGGAAATTGTTGGGTTTCTGTAATTAACTTGAGAGTAGGGTCTGGCCTGCTCTGTTTGGAAAGCGCTGTGAGATAACTGTTATTGTGATGTGGCGCTATATAAATAAAATTGAATTCAATTGAATTGAATTGATAACATCAAAAATGTAAATCTGTGAATACATTGCAGTTGTTAAATCAAAGTATGATTTACCTGATTGTAGTGTACGATGAATTGTGACTACGAGTTTTCTCTGTTACCTGTGGCTTAAAGAAAAACTACTCATCAATTTTTCCTCCTATGCTTTGCCATGATAGCAGAAATCATAATGATGTAGAAGAGATCTCAGCCTCATTAGATACTCAAACTCAAGGAGGAAAATGTTAGATCTTCTCATTGATCAACAGTTTTGGCTGGTAAGTTTAGAATTTCGATTTGATAACATAAATATTAGAAATCTGTGTTGTCATATTATGTTTTAATTCAAAGACAAAATCATGCTTTCTCACTTTTCACTGTTGGGAATTTTAGCCTGTACCATAATGAGTCAGAAAGAGTTTATGTGCAAAAAGGAAAACCACGTAGCGATTATCTGGGAAACGGAGTGACTTTTTGGCATCTGTGGAGCTATATAAGTCTTGCTATCCTTGTTAGTTGACTTTGCTTTGTGTTGTGCAGCCGGGCAACAATGTCCACTGACATATAAGATTGAAGACAGGCACGTCCTCCATACTCCAGTGAGCTGAGCGGGCAGTTGCGCAAAGAACAAGCCAGCAATTTACACATGGGTCATTTACTTTTTGTACGCAATGCCAGAAATGAGGGCTGTCATGTCACAGAGCTAACTGTTACCACAGAGCAAAAGTGTACAATGAAGGTAGAACTTATAACGCCATACCTGTAAGAGTATAATTGATGTTAAAAAATCCAACTATATCTTTTTAGATAATTCGTTCCAATACAACAGCTTAACAATACCATTATCATCACAATAAGAGCATTTAGGTTTGCTGTCTTCTCATTTTCTTACTGATTAACATTTATATGGTTTAAAGGTTTGTGCAGTATGCTTGCTCACCATTCCAAGATTCTGTGTTCATTAGGGTGATTTAAGAGTCTGAGGTCAGTCTGTGTGTCAGCTCTAGAGGTCTTTAATCCAATACAAAGTAAGAGGCTGCCTGTTTGCTCCGTTGATGTCAATGCACGGGTTAAACATGGGGTAAAGTGGCTCTGTGCACTCCACACAGAAACAGTGAAGCAGTGCCATAGCATCAGCATTGTAGAAGGACAGCTCCCCCTTCTGGATATTTATCAGTATGCCCAGCTTCTTGACTCGCTTTGCAACCGACAGTTGTTTCTCCTGTGTGTCATTACATGCAACGTACTGTCCATCTCCGTGGTAGATGCACCAAGAAGTGCTGTTCACGGCCAGGCCGGGCCACCTCTCGGTCGGGCTGTCTTTCTTACTTACAGAGCCAGTGGTCACGCCTATCATCCAGAAGGGTTTGTCCTGAACGATGACCTCCCAGTAATGCTGGCCACTTGTAAAACTCTCCTTAGCCAGGACACTGTACTGGGAGTCATAAGGCTGTAGGCTGGGTCCTTCATCGACAGGTTGACGTCTCCAGTACACCTGCTTTATGTCTTGGGATATTTCCAGTTTTGGGTGGGCTGTTTTACAGTCTAAAACAGGTGAACATAGATCTGTAAAAAAAAAAAAAACTGCATTCAGTACACAATATGGACCCAGCAAGGTATGAATTTCAATTGCAAAATAATGAATTGTTTACTAACACGACCACATTCGTGGAAAATGTTGGGACAGAGCTAGGGACAGGTCATCCACCAGCCTCTCAACTGTTCGCAGCTTCTCAGGGTCACACAGATCCCTGTTTACTGTGAGGATTGTTGGAAAATCCAAAGGATCACTACAACAAAGCAAAAATGAGAGCAAATGAGGCACAAAGGAGGGATCATAGAGGGCAGTTATGTGTTGTGCCAAAAAATGCACTCACCAAAGATTCTGTGCCGCAATATGCTGAAAAAACACAGGGCCCGTATTAATATGTGTTTCATTGCTGCGAAAATACTTATTAACTGCACTTTAATCTGATCACATGATGACATGGGAGGTTATTATCTGTCACAGGAAAAATAAGCTTTTGAAGACCAGGTTTGATTTCTGTTCCTAACTATGATCCAAATTAAGAACATTTACAAACTAACCATCTAACAACTAGTTTGACGTCACCTTAGACAAAGAGAGAACAATTGCATTAACACTTATTTAACAAGTATTTAACAAGTCAGCTGTTTGAGCCTAGTCCGTTATTCTATTATTTGCTAAATAAAATAATGATACGTATGTCAGGGCTTCATTGTAATCCAGCTTGCTTTTCATATTTCTGCTTGCCAGCATCCGCATTTACGCTAAATACTTACCATTACTCTAATACTTATCAGTTCCAGCCACTGACAGTGACTCAGAAAGATGTCATACTTCATACATCACCGTTAATAACTTTTCTATAGGGATCACGGGGGGAATCTTGTAGAGTATCTTAAACATGCTCTTTGCATTACTTTAGGCAATGTATTCATTACCTGCATTTTTTAAAATGAGAAAAACATTTACCATTGCAAGATTTCTGTGATCACTTTATGAAGAAACATGTCAAATTGGATGAGAAAGAGATTGAAGAATCAGGCAGTTAAAAAATCTCTTAAATAAACCTGATCAAAATCTGGAGAATCTATAATTCATATGATAATAGGTGTTTGAGACGGGTGGTTTAAAAACACAAAATGTAAAATGAAGTTTCTGACAGAGGTTGACAATATATGTTGGAGCAGTATAAAATATGAAAAATATTCTTTTTTTTAAGGTTTTCTTTTCTTTTTTCTTGAAGACACCAAAAACTAAATCAGAAAATTGTAATAAAAGCATTTTTACTCTAAACTAAAATAAAATATGATTGGGTCTTAAATTTACCTGTAGGAAATGAAGATCATTTTTTTCCTGGAGAAGCGTTTTGTTGGAGGCTCTGAGCCCGTCTATTTCTTTGATCTGATATTCAATAATGCCCCTCTGAGCCTCCAGCCACTCTGTCATATAAGTCTCCTCTGCATCTATGATCTGCATCATCAGACGCTCATCTGCATCCAGCACAACACGGATCCTGCTGTATTTATCTGAGAGTCTCTCTCTGTAATCTGCTGCAGACTCCTGGAAAACAGAAACAATAAGATCTTCCTAAAAGAAAAACAAAAAAAAAAGAAGAAAAAGGGTGATTTCACTGCATCTGTACCACAGTTTGGGAGTATAGAGCTTCCAAGTCCTTGATAGCGTGCTCTGCTTCACCTCTCCTCTTCAGCAGATGATTCATAGTAGCTTCCAATGTACTCTAAAGACAAAAATAAAACAGGCCTATGGAAAATGAGTACGATAACGCTAATTCATTTCATTTGACAGAAATAGAAATATCCACCTTGATGTCTGCACTGGCTTCGTGCAGCTGGGACACCTTGTGGTGCTTGTGCACGCCGACCAGGACACACAAGCAGCACACAGGTACCTTATCTTCCAGACAGAAGAGCTTGAGCTCGTCCCGGTGCTCCCTGCACTTCAGTGACAACGGGTCTTTGGTGACCTCCACCAGCGTGTGCTCCCTCAGAACGGACCTCTGCTGGTGCAGCAGGGCGTGAGCCTGGCACAGCGAGGCGTCGCAGGTCAAGCAGGTCTTCACCGCCACCGACGGCCTCTCGATGCAGTGGTCACAGCAAACGGTCGGAGGGGATTTTGTCGCGCTGGTTGGAGCTGTCGGCTGCGACTCGGATGCTGCTGACTTTCCCTTTGTGGTGAAGTCCTTCACCTTAGTCTGCAGGTCAGTGTTTATCTCCAGAGTGGGGTCAGTGGGGAGGAGTATCTGACACTCTGGACAGAAGAAAGGGCCCTCAGGAGACACATCTGTTTCCCAAACAGCCTGGATGCAAGTGAGGCAGAAGTCATGTCCGCACTGGAGTTTCACAGGTTCAGTGAAGAAATCCTGGCAAACGGGACACTTCAAAGTATCCCCAATAGCCTCCATACCTCTGCTTGCACCTGTTCGGGAAGCTTAATGTGCACAACGCTCCTGGCCATCCAGCTCATTAATGTTTCAGTGACCCCTCTTGGCAAGTCTAGTCACTCATGAACCTCAGTGTCAGATTACCAAAGATGAGTTGATAACAACAGCCAATTCAAACCAGGAATTATTGGGACGCCACAAACAAAGTCATTTCTTTTTCAAATATTAGAAAAAAAAGCCTTGGTCAACACTTAACCTTGAGCAAGAGCTTTATATAATGGTCATAATTTGCAATTAGTCCAGAAGTTGTGAAATGAGAACCTAGAGTTTTTACGATGAATTAACTTAAGGTTTAACACATTTTTGCCACCATCCAAATAGTATGAGGATAAGATGATTGGACGTTAAAGGATATAGAGCATAACAAAACAGGAACATTTGCAACTTCACATAGTTTTTTTTGTATGCACAGACTCGATGTAAGCTCAACAACAAGAAAATAGTTTTAGTTAATGACAATGTTTTATTTAAAAAGTGTTTTTTGTAACTAATACCGTGGGAACGACTTCAGTTTTAAACTAATGTATGTTCAGACATCTACAACAATGGAACCTGGATGCCAAACATGCTTTTGGATAACAGAATGAATTGCTACGCTTTTTTCGTAAGTACAATGTTTTTGCGGGCGTTTGTTACGTCAGCGTAACTGGATATTTGACGTACGAATCGTTCGTGAATAGCCAACTTTCTCCACTTCCGAAACAACGTGGGCTGTGGATGTGGCACAGAAGGAGACAGTCTGACGACGTGTCTCTTCTTGGCAGTGCTTACAAAAGTGCATCGGGGACTGTTTTGCTAGGTCTTCGTGTTGTCAGGTACAGACTCTTTATGTTAAAACCGTTTTCCATTCATTATTTATTTTACAACCACAGACAATAGCCGCTAACAGTAGCTAGCTAACTTTAGCCGGCTGCATTACATTCGGACAGTTGCCGCACTTGACACACTGCTTTTGTTGTCTTGTTGATTTAGTTGCAAGCTACAGTTACGTTGTACGTACTTGTTTTTATTTGTACGAAAAATTCAGCATTTGTACTTTTGTTGTAAATTGTCCTTGGGCTAACTCGAAGCTAAGAGCATCTTTACTGGGTTAGTGTGTCAAGTTCAAGTAAGAGAAGAACCGATAATATGTTTATGTTTATGCATTTGGCAGACGCTTTTATCCAAAGCGACTTACAGAGAATATCAAGACAAGAACTGAAGAAAACAATGCTTCTAGATATTACTCAGATATATACTTATTTATTGGTGTGTGTGTGTGTATGGGGGGGCGGGGGTAAATACAGCATGACTGTCACATCAGAGAGCCTCTTATCACATGAGGTTGGAGCAACCTGGCGCTGATTTGTGTGTCCTCAGGTTTCACTGCCATGTTTGCCAGGTTTGCGTTGTGCTCTCTACATAAATGCAGAATCCGAAGGTTGAATGCCCCTCCAGTCTCTACCAGAGCCTTCTCCCAGGCTAAATGTAAGTGGCCACCGAACTTTATCCCCTTAAGAGATGCAGGTTGCTTTGTTTTGCATCAGAACCTTTGCTGTGATCATCATCTGCTTTGCCCAACCGGCAGTTTCCCTCCCACGTCCCCATGGGAAGTCCTTTGCGCACCGCAGCGAGCTGAAGCAGGCCAAACGCATTGTGGTGAAGCTCGGGAGTGCCGTGGTCACCCGGGGGGATGAGTGCGGCCTGGCGCTGGGGCGGCTGGCCTCCATAGTGGAGCAGGTGAGGCCGATGGCCCGGACCTGAGGAGGCAGCCCTGACTCTCACTCTGACACGTAGGGCTAAACATCATGGCCTCTGCCCTCTGTCAGGTGGCCGTGCTGCAGAATCAAGGCAGGGAGATGATGATTGTTACGAGCGGCGCCGTGGCGTTTGGAAAGCAGCGACTGAGACACGAGATACTGTTGTCTCAGAGCGTCAGACAAGCCTTGCACTCCGGACAGAACCAGCTGAAAGACATGGTCAGTGATAGGCCTCTGCAGCTGGTCTTTATTATGTAAAGATTTTTTTGTTTTTGTTTTTTTTTCTTTTCCTCTGGTTTGCGTTGGACTTAATGCCATGTATTTTTCAGTCTGTACCGGTGTTGGAAGCCCGGGCGTGCGCTGCAGCGGGACAGAGCGGTCTGATGGCGCTGTATGAAGCCATGTTCACCCAGTACAGCATCTGCACGGCACAAGTACATGCTAGACCATTCTCACAGAGTAAGACGTGGCCAGCTTCTGCCTTGAGAGTTGCCTAATCCTCGCTTTTTGTCTGCCCTTCTTCAGATTCTGGTCACAAACCTGGACTTTCACGACGAACAGAAGCGCCGCAACCTGAACAGCACGCTGCACGAGCTCCTGCGGATGAACATCGTCCCCATCATCAACACCAATGACGCCGTTGTGCCACCCCCTGTTCCGAACAGTGACCTACAGGGGGTAAATGTGGGTACTGTGTGATGGTTGTGCTGGGAGTTCTTAGCAGATGCACAAATGTGATGGTGATGCTTTGATCCATGCATAAATGGGACACGTATGTTTCCTCTTTTCTTTTTCCATTATCACTCTTGTCATTGAACGTTTGGACACAGTTTACATTTGTCTCCCCGTTTTTCATCTAAGGTTGCTTTTAGATGTCTTCAGCCGGCTCACAGTGTGGTGGTCTCTTTTCTTTTGTTGAGTTTTAACATGAATGCAGAATGCCTGTTTACATTTCACACCTAAAATGAGATCAATGTTGCATGTCAGCTGCTGCTAACTGATTTTTATTACCACTTCCTGAGATTTCTGTTTGCTTTTCAGGTAATAAGCATCAAAGATAATGACAGTTTGGCTGCACGGCTGGCTGTTGAAATGAAGGCAGACCTCCTTATTGCCCTCTCAGATGTTCAAGGTACAGAAATGATCCTTGATTTTACGATTGATGGAATAAACAACAAATGCTTGCCAGCTGTTTCTACCAAAATAATTCGCATTCTAGAGTGGTTTACATTCTGGATTTCTAAAAAGAATGGAAAATGTACCCCACAGGCTTATATGACAGTCCCCCAGGAACAGACGATGCCAAGCTCATTGATATATTCTATCCCGGAGACCAGCAGTCAATCACGTACGGCACCAAGTCCAGAGTTGGAATTGGCGGCATGGAAGCCAAGGTTAGCCCCAGGGATAATGTTTTACCTCAGCATGCAAATGGGGCATAGTTGCTGCTATGATGACAGAGTTGCATCACTCTTAACCGTGCTGTTTGGAGCAGGTGAAGGCAGCGCTGTGGGCTCTGCAGGGGGGGACTTCTGTGATAATCGCCAACGGAACGGATCCTAAAGTTACAGGACATGTCATCACGGACATTGTGGAAGGGAAAAAAGTCGGCACGTTCTTCTCAGAGGTGAAGCCTGCAGGTATGTGAGGGGAATGGGCTACACAGACAGAAATATGTAGCCTTTTTCAGTGTTACCCACCGGCCTCATTTATATTGAATCTGAGTCCTGTTACCATCCCCAGGCCCCACTGTTGAGCAGCAGACAGAAATGGCTCGGCATGCAGGCAGAGCTCTGTCATCGCTGCTTCCTGAACAGGTGACGAGGGTTCAGTTTCATAACGGCTTTCTAGGGATGATGAAACGCATGTCTGTGTTGTATTGGCAAAATATTACCTTCTTACCATTGTTATGTTTGATGAGCGCATGATAACCAAATTTATTTTTTTTGCAGAGAGGAGAGATCATCTGCTGTCTTGCGGAGCTGCTTACAGAGAAGAAAGAGGAAATTCTGAATGCAAACAGAAAAGACATGGAGTTGGCAACAGGTCAGGAGAAAGAGATGGCTTGCTGCCTAACTTTAATCCACAATGCATGCCAATCCCATTGTCTACCATTAGGGGACACTGGCATTGGAAAGATGCTGTTACTGAAGAGTATTTAGCCTTTTTTTCTCCATTATATGGAGTTTATAAGAGTTGGCAGGGAGTGTTCCATGGCTTTTTGTGCTATGCAGCACAGGAAGGGAAGAAGCTACCCCTTTTTAACTGGATTACTTGCCTCTCCTGGCAGCTGTTTTGTAGGGGAAAAGGATTTCCTCTCAGCAAAACCTCAGAGTTCATCTTTGTTCACCTCTTCTGATTCCTCACAGGTCGTTTGTCCCAGCCTCTGATCAACCGCCTTAGTCTGTCAACCGCCAAGCTGAACAGCCTCGCCATCGGCCTGCGCCAGCTCGCCGTGTCCTCCAGGAACAGCGTGGGCCGGGTGCTGAGGAGGACCAGAGTGGCAAACAACTTGGAGCTGGAACAGATCACTGTCCCCATCGGCGTGCTGCTGGTCATCTTTGAGTCGCGTCCTGATTGCCTTCCTCAGGTCAGACCTTCCCCTAAAAGATCTTTTTTGTTTTTCACTCATTATTTCTTGGAAGCACAGCCCATTAATAAGATATTTTACTGCAGGTGTCTGCACTCGCTATTGCCAGTGGAAATGCTCTGCTGCTGAAGGGTGGCAAAGAAGCGTCCAACACCAACAGGATCCTTCATCAACTCACTCAAGAAGCACTCTCGATCCACGGAGTTGCTGACGCCATTCAGCTGGTGAGCATGTAGAAAGCTTTAGAGAATAAAAAAAATAATAATAATCACGACGAGTTAACTAAAGCGTACTTAATTTTGCAGGTAAGCACACGCGAGGAAGTTGAAGACCTGTGCAGGCTCGACAAAATGATCGACTTGATTATTCCAAGAGGGTCGTCCCAGCTGGTGCGGGACATCCAAAAAGCAGCTAAAGGCATTCCCGTGTTGGGGCACAGCGAGGGCGTCTGTCACGTCTACGTAGACAATGAAGCCAGCATAGACAAAGCCATAGATGTTGGTATGTGATATATATATATATATTTTTTTTCTTCCTTACTAGGGTTTTCAGAAAGCAATGGACTATAGGAAGAACAAAAATCTTGTTTCGTGTTTTGGTCCAGTATTCATAAAAACTGTTTAATTCTAGTCAAAGACTCCAAATGTGACTACCCTGCAGCCTGCAATGCGATGGAGACCCTCCTCATTCACAGAGACCTACTGCGCACTCCCATATTTGACCAAATCATTGACATGCTGAGAACAGAGCAAGTAAGGAATGTGTGGATGTTAGTTTGGGGGGAAAAAATGTCTGCCATATGATTGCGAGATGTCAAGTGATAGCAATGGAAGAGAGTAAGAGAATCCCGTCTCTGTTTCTTACTTTATTCCAGGTAAAGATACACGCTGGACCTCGGTTTGCATCTTACCTAACTTTCAGCCCATCAGAGGTGAAATCCCTCCGAACAGAGTACGGGGACCTGGAGTGCTGCATTGAGGTGGTGGATAGCATGCAGGAGGCCGTGGACCACATCCACAAATACGGCAGCTCCCACACGGACGTCATTGTCACAGAGAACGAAGATACAGCTGAGCAGTTTCTGCAGCAGGTGGACAGCGCCTGCGTATTCTGGAATTCCAGCTCCCGCTTCGCTGATGGCTATCGCTTCGGCCTGGGTACGATCTCCTTTTACATTTTACACTTGACTTTCTAAAGTTTTGAAGACATGGTGGAAGAATGTATTTTTTACACTGTTTATTTTGCAGGTGCTGAGGTGGGCATTAGCACCGCAAGGATACACGCAAGAGGTCCTGTGGGTTTGGAAGGACTTCTCACCACCAAGTGGGTCCTTCGAGGAGAGGGTCACACTGTGGCCGACTTCTCTGAACAAGGCAGTATGAAATACCTTCACGAAAACATCCCTGTTCCACATGGGAGTTTTAATTAGGCGCCCAAAATAGGAAGCTGTCAGCAGGAGCCAACATAAGGGGTTTGTATCTACAAGTAGCATTTCACCAGGTGTATGGTTCTACTCTGCAGAACAATTGCTTAAAGAATGAAAATATGCTTTTATTGATCAACCAAATTCTCTTTTTGGTGAACCTTTGTATAACCCAGCAAGCTGTTTTTCAGATCCATACAGCTGTCCTGAGAAACTGGTTGATTCTAAGCTGATAGGGAATTATGCTAAAAGTGCAGAGATGAGACATAATGTTGACATGGATAAACATCTTCCCCTTTAAGAGTCATGTTTAAAACAGCCGAAAACAAAGTCATTGCCCCAGTGGTGACTTTTCTAATTTATTTTTCTACCCACAAACTTCCCCCATGTTTTTGCGACTGGCTCCAAGTGGCGTTTGTGTGGGATTGTTTTCGATTTATTTAGCTGTTTTTCATCATAGCAGATAATCAAATAAAAATGGTGTACAGTTCTTTAAACATGACTTTGTGTGTTATATTTGATACTGAAAAATCCAATAAACTGGCATTTCTAAATGTTTACCGTTGCTAACATGCAGTAGTATCAGCGTTCTGCTCTATAATGCGCAAACTGGGAGAAAACGGAGATGTAGAATTACATTTTAGCTTAAAAATGCGCTAAAAGCCCATACATTTGCTTGTGGGCCTTTCTCAATGCTGATTAAACCAAGTCAGATGTTAGAGCGTTACAATGTTCGACTTTCCTTAAATGCAGCACGGCATACGTACACGCTGTGGGCGGGGTTTGATATCCCGCAGCACTTGCCAGGTGACCTGGGAAACTCAGCTGTCATTTGCGTGAATGGTAAAGATGGCAGTAAATAATTACACCATAGTAGAATACTTTGGCGGAGATGATGGGTATCGTTGTGGCTACTGTAAAAATGAAAAGGGAAACTTCTCTCACGGTAAGCTCACAATGAAGTTGCGAATAAGTGTGACTGGGGTGGCTGGTGCTAACGAGTTAGCTCCCTGTACTCACTGGAATAGTAAGCGAATGTAAGAAAAACACTAGCTTCAGTTTGCACTGCTAACGATTCTACCGTCGCTAAATGTTTATCAGGTTTTAGGAAACGTTCAGACTGCGAGTGAAACATGTCCGACAAAAACACAAGTCAATCTTGTGTGTTCGTGTTAAAGGTCTAGCTTAGTTTTTAGCTAGTAGCTTTGCTATCCAACACAGAGAAACAGTTGCTCCAATCAACCAGTAGTTGGAACATTTTTAATATGTATATATATTCATACGCTTTGTCGAACTGCTATTATTTCTGGTCATGGTATTTAACCATGTTACCATACCAAATTGGTCCAAGACTTGATTTAATCTTCCAGCCGTTGTGTTAGCATGTAGTCAGTAAGGTTGTAGGCAGAGCACTGAAAGAGGGTTGCCCCCTTTAAGTGAAAGTACAGTTGGCTGGTATCTGTCAGAGGTCTTAAAATTACTCGGATTTGGGGTTATGAAATGTATAGATGATATTTTACTTTAACATCTAGTACATTTGGCCGTGCTCTAATACTTGTTTCCATTTCTTAGCCTGGGTGTGATCTCAGTTTTCTGGTGTAGCTGCAGGCTTAACCTCATGCTCAACACAAATGGCAACAAGCTATTCCACAGCAGGTTGACCTGATGTTTTAGTTTTTACTCTTGCTCTGTTCTGCTTTTCAAAAGCGTGGCACACTATTTTTATGTGATAGTTGGTTCCGTATCGCAGTGGAAAAAACACAGAGGTGTATCTCTTAGAATAATTTTATACCACTTGAGTGGTAAAGTCTAGTGAATATGTTCTGTTAGATAGAGACTTTGTAAATGGAGTTACATAGTCGCGTAACTAGGAAGGGATTTCCTGTGGTAAGCAGAATAGTGTCATTGAGTTAAACTAGGCACAGGTAGAGGTGATTCAGGCTGACTATGATTAGGGTTTAGGCACTTCCTAATGCAGTCAATAAGCAATTTGGCTCAGAGCCCGCAGACAGGAGCTGTTGTCTAATCTAAGATGTAATCTGGGTTTGTTACGTCATTTAAGCATGATAGGTTCTCAGGAAGTCACGAGATATAGCCACGTTTGTTTTCTTGTAAGATGTCCTGGAAGGGAATATGGATTTGTTGGGAAATCCATATTATTTTGGGCTAAACTAGATTATATTTCTCTCTTCTCAGGCTGAGGCAACAAGGGGTTCCTGTACCACCATGGAGTTTAATGTTTTAGTGTGGCTGTGATGCTTTCATTCTCCCGAGGAAATATACAAATCAATTTGCTTTGTGTATTTTTGCAGGGTTTCTCAGATGAGATATTCGAGCCATCTCTCTTTGCTGCTAGCTTTTAAAAGCTGGTTCCCAGCTGGATCTTATCTTCCTCGGCCTGATTGGACCTGTTATCAGGGATATTGTATTCACAGCTAAAGTCACTCCACAATATACAATACAACATCTGCCATCCTCTTTCATTGTTACCATTGTGTCACAGTAGAGGGTGAAAACTGGATCAGGTGGTCCTGGTGCAACCGGTGCATCAACATCATCATCATCCACATTTTTCTTTAAGGGATCTACCAAATTAGTTTGTTGTGCCAAACCTGCTGTAACTTACTTGGGCTGCTCATTAGATTGAACATTTCTCATTATCAGGCAGACTTTTTGATTTAAATTTGCAAAGTAGTGTAGTTATGAGAGCTGCATTCTGTTTATAAAATGTCTTGTTTAGGGAATAATCGGTTACGATAATGGATGGATGGGTGGATATTTAAGTTATTTAGAAGTAGCATTAATAAATAAAATTTTTAAGACAACTGAGATATAATTGCACCATGTAACGTATACTCATCTGCTTTTATATTACAAGTCAAATAATCACTGTAGTTTTATCATAAATTGGCATGTTTTCCTAACGCTGTGCAGAAAACCTCCCAAAGGACTTACAACTATATACAGAGGGGAAGCTCTGAGAAGTACATTTTGCAAATCTGTGTGTAGAGGGGGTGATAAAACAGTACAAACCCCTCAAAAATCCATCTCAATAACAGTCTCAATGCATTGAAACAGGAAAAATACAAGGGGGGTACTTTCCTAAAGCACTGTTTAAAAGCAAAGGCTGTCCAAGAGAGTGGTTATATGTGATCTTTAACTTGGAAAAAAAACACAGTGATGATGGCAGCCATTCATATAAGCTCCTTGGCTGGTGGTCTGAGAGAGAGACTATTTCCTCATCACTGAACCAGTTTAATAAAAACAGTGTCTGAATAGATGTCGTCTTTTGGCCTGACATCTAATGTTTACTGCACAAGTTTAAAAAAGTGCTGCCCTTTTAGGTCACTGAGTTGTCTCCGTCTCTTCTGACTCCAATTAAGCCCCACTTCCACGGCCCACTGCGATTACTGCATGCTGGATGTGTGTTGTGTGAACTGTTTTTGTATGAGCCCCGTTTGTTGATGCAGATATAAACAGATAGTCAGCCGTCGTAAACTCACAGATTGGTGGAAGTGCTTAGAGTTGTGCAGATGGTGGATGGAAGGGTCAGGACTGGAGAGGATGAGCTGGGACTTCCAGTTCTGGGAGGGCGGATCTGCTGTGGCTACAAATAATACATATGAATGTTTCCATTGGAGCCGTAAAGTACCCCCCAGGGATGTATGATTTAAGAGGGAACAAATCTTTGGCCTCACCAGCAAAGTACAGAGCAGCTTTTTAACTGACGAACTCTTGATCATGCGTCGTGCTTCCTGTTTCACTGACATGTTCAGATGATAACAAAGCTAGTCTACTCGAAAACGTCTTTGTAAAAGCTTTTAATATAATTTCTTGTCCATTTAAGTTTTCATTTTTATGATTTGATAAACATTTTACTTCTAAAAAGTTTTTTTCTCAAACAAAACGAGGAAATTGTTATGAAACGTATTTGATGTTTTACTATAAAAAACTTGTCATACGCTAACTGTTATGTAGTATAGCAATTTTCAGACAATGATTTAAGAATATTAAGGAAATTATCATTATTTTTTTTACAGGGATGTGGTCTCACACCATGACTGTACAAGACTACCAAGATCTAATAGATCGAGGATGGCGAAGGTGAGCTCTCTGAAGATTGATCATGAAACTGAGCGTAAAAGATCCCACCGCTCTCCCAATAAAAGAACCCTGATAACTAGACTGAGGGATGCTTAAAAAACAGTTACTCATAGTATTTATTCATAGGTATATTTCTTTTTGTGGTGTGTTTATATTGTGTCCATGCTTATTTCCTGCATTTTGTATCTGTTTGTTGACTTTTGGACAATTTTGTGGACAATTTTGTAATTTAACATCTTTTAATGTGTGTCTTTTGGAACATTTATTGTCTTATTTACCGGTAATTGCTTTGTGTCATTATTTGTGGTCCTTATTTCTTCAAGCTTAATTTCCCCCCAAAATCACATATTTCTTAAATAAATGTACATCTTTTGCTCCTTTGCTGCTTCAGATAGGTAATGCTAACTTGAAAAAACAAAAAACACGTGTCTGCATTTCAGAAGTGGGAAATATGTGTATAAACCCACAATGAAGAAGACATGCTGTCCACAGTATACCATCAGGTAATGGCTTTCACTTACTTTACCCACTAGAATTATCTGCACTCTTCATATGTCATAATTCTAAGAAATGCTTATTTAGAAGTAGACTCGTGTACAGATCTGACTTTTTAACCATGACCTTTTTATTTTCATATTGTCTGTTAGGTGCCACGCAGTGAAATTCCAGCCTTCCAAATCTCACAAGAAAGTTCTGAAGAAGATTAACAAATTCATTTCCAAAGGAGAATTACCACAGGAACAGGAAGGGGGTGAGATTTTGTCTAGAAGTGTAGAGTCATTGCTTTTTAACTGTATTGCAGTCGTAGGTGTCTCACCTACGTCGTGTCTCGTAGGAGAACCAATGGAGTCGGTTTGTGACGAGGCCGGTCCACGGGAGCCCACTAAAGTCTGCCAGCCGGAAATGAAGTGCGCTGCTACTGAAGATATCCAGCACGAAGTAAAGAACTGTCCCAATTTCACAGAAGTTCAGAAAGATGTCGCCGATGTCAAGCCTCTAATCTCAGAAACCTCGCAAAACGATCCTGCGTCTGTTTCGGAGAGCAGAACGTCAAACGTGGCTCCTAAACCTGGTAAGAAATTAGATTTAGCTTCCAGTGGCTGTAAGACGCAGTCATCAATCTGCGTCCCTTTATTTTTCTTAAGAAAAGCAGAATAAAAAGAGCTCTGAATAATAAATCAGCTAGGCAAAGTCCTGCTTTTCATTCTTCAATGGCGAGGTTAGCAGGTGTTACTCCAGTTGGTGTCAAAAGTTAGATGTGTTGCTTTTTCTCCTTTTTTCTGAAATGGATCACTGCTATGTTGACTAATATTTCGAAGATTACTTCGGGAGCTCAAATTGATCTCAATTCCTAACTTCCTCTGTCTGTGGATGTGTTCACGGTCAACTGACAGTCCAGTCACGGCAAACCCAGGAAATCATAGAATAATTGTAATTTATACGGCATTCTGAACCTACAGCACCAGCTTGTGGTAAATTATGTGCACATTGATGCGCATGATTCCATTCCTCAGTTCATTTCTTAGCGCTTTTCATCAGTTGTGCTCAGCTTTGGGTGTGAAGGTTCCTAATGAGAAGATGGCATTTAACCAGCAGCACACAGCCCTCTGCGATGTGTGGTTAAGGAAAGGAAAAAGTTAAGTCCGTCTGAGAGCTGAAGTGGTGACAAAGTGGTTATACTTTACCACCAACAGCACAACACTTTGTTGAACAGATGAGCCAGTGTTGACCAAGATAATCCAAGAACTCAAGAACCAGCCAAGTACTCATCAACCCCTCAGCTATGGCAGCTGTAATAATATCTTTGTGTTGCGCCTAGAACTTTTCTTTTTCCGAGAGGTAGAAGCGTCCCGCTGTAACTGAAGCAACGCTGGCTGCCAGAGGGTGTCACTGTTCACCTTTCCAACGGCTGGGTTGATGAGGGCCCCACTTCATCAGGGCTTTCAGGAGTGTGTCTGCTTTGGACACATCTCTCCTGCTCTGCTAGTCTTTACTGTCCAGCACAGGATATCCTCGCTGCTAACTCGCTGTAATGAATTAACAACACTAAGAGTGGAGAGATAATAAACTGCCATTAGGCACAGGAAGAAGCCCTTCACACACACCTCTGTGCTCCTGGCCTCAGCTGCTCGGAACGGCCCCCTCCCCATTGACTAATATGGGCAGCAGGCGTTCTGATGAATTCAAAGGGCGAGGGCGGCCATTGGAGCGCTGGGTTCTCTGGAGCCGATCCATCCAGACGCAGACATAAACACGTGTTTGCCGTCCTTCGATTGTTAAGCGCGTGCCATCGCCACACTCCTCTTAAGGGTCAGAAATAACGAGCCTTTTCAGCGAAGTGAAAAGCCCCCCCCCCCCTTTTCCCCAAATTCACAACCACTGCCAACAGAAAACACCTGGACACACACGGCACTTCCTCTGCTTTTTATGACTGCAGGTTTTTATAACTTAGGTGCTTTTCCAGCTCCAGCTTGAAAAAACATGACTCCCCTGTCCGTTTGAAATTGATGAGAGTCTCCAAGGAGCAAGTTAACACTCAAGCATGAGCTGAACCTGCTGTGGATACGTTCACACTTCCTCTGTGTCTCTGGAGTTCTGTGGCGTTCTCTGCCGTATATTTTCTGTTAGAACAGTGTTCTATCCAGTCAGTGTTCAGGGCATCCCATTCCATGCTAAACATACTGCCTGATTTGCGTATAACGCAGCACTTGGACACATTTCTTAACAAGAACTCTGTCTGGATCTTGTGAAAGCCCGTGGGGGAAAAAAAAGAAAAGAAAAGGAGTGTCACAGATTTTATGAAGTGCTTACTGCAGGAGTCTGAGCACCTGTCTTCAACAGGAACTGATCTGTCAGACTTTATCTGACACACACACACACATACACACACACACTTTCCTCTGGAACACCCGTTTATAAGAGAGCAGAAGGAGAGATAGTAAGCACTGATGCATCTGAGCTGGGATAAAACCCACTTCTCTGTCTTCCAGCCCTCAGAATTTCTGTTTACCATTCATTTAAATAAAAGACGATTCCTGATTTGAACTCGCCTCCACAAATGCGCTGAGGTTTGCGAAAGCCCCGGGTTGCCAGTGGGTCAGAATCACAGTTTTCCCCGTTCCATATCAGGAGGCAGCATCCTCCTCCTCCCTGTGACACATCAGAGGGGAAAGTTACTAAGTAAGCTGGTGGTGGCAGCTGGCAGCAGTGCAAGCAAGAAACTGCTCTCGTTTCCTTATTGCTCCAAACAGGATGTGGGCGTGTAAACTGTTGACACGACGTGCCCGGTGAGCCTGGGGGCTTGGCATGGGCCCAGGAAGTAGCTGCAGAGGGGAGGGGGGGGGGGGCAAAAACAGGCAAAGAAAGCACAGAGGAAGATTTATCTGTTTCAGACAGCGTTTGTAATGTTCTTTTTGACAGAACAAAGGGCAAAGGTGTGTTCTGTTTGATACAACCCGAGCGTTGATAGGACAGGTGGCTCCACAGATGCCAATTTCAACTAATTATATCACAATTTCTTTACTGAACATTCTACAGGCTTGTGAAAAGCATAAGTATTCCATTTTTTAACTCTGGGTTTTACACATCAGGGCATAAGGAAATTGTTTAGTTTCTTACCGGGTCTTCAGTTAACATGACTTGTTTCAGCTGTGTGTGAGAACTAGTATGTAGAACATATTTAGCGGGAAAAAAAACAAAGTCAGTTTTTGCGTAACGTTATCAGTCTGTTACGTCATCGTTGAGGAATTCTTGGCCCGCTCTCTTCCTGTGCTGCTCTGGTCAACAGAGGAGTTCATGTTTGATTGAATGACTGTGAGGTGTGCAGGTCCTGTGACTGTGACACAAGCCCAAAATATCAGCCCCCTGTCGCCACGCCTTCAATTATCGTGAGCAGACGCTGCGATTTGTTGTCACCAGATGTGGTGCTGTGCTGTGTGTTACAGCCAGAAATCTCCACTTTCCTCCCGTCTGTCCAATGGACAGTGTTCCAGATGTTTTTGAAGTTCTATCAGGTGCTAAAGGGTGAGCTTTTTTGTGCTCCTTCTCATCCTCTCTGCTTTCTGTGGGCATAAGGGACGGGAGCCGATCCCAACCGGCCGCCGTGCAGGAAGGCCAAAGACTTGAGGAAGGAGCGACGTCTTCAGAAAGAGCAGATCAGACCCCCTACAAACCCCGCTCCCGCCAACACCAACCAGGCCAAAAGCCTCGAGGAGTTCATCAGTGAGTCGTTACCAGACAGTTGCCCTCACAACCTCGAGGTGAGCACTAATTATTAGTAGGTGCATTCTTTCCCTTTCGTACAAGCTGAAACAGACAAATGACTGAAGGAATGTTTTTACCTGTGATTAAGAAATGTTTTTTATTATGAAATGCAGTTTAATGTTGGGATTGAGTTAGCTGAGAGCCGTCTTTCTCAGCCCCAGTGACTTCACCATGTGTTTATGTGTGCAGAGAAGATAGCTGGCCAAAGCAGAGTGGAAAAACCTCCTTTTCCAAGTTCCGACTCAACCAAATGACAGGCACACCACACAAACTGGGTCGCATTACCCTTCTGATGACACTAAAACCACAGTACCCAGCTCTGCCTCCACAAGAGGACGTGGAAATTATTTTTCTGGCAAGGACTAGAATGATGTTGATAGATCTCTGGAAAGGGCCTTGAGCTGAGGTTGGTAGAGTAATGTCATTCTTGGTCGTAAGCAGGCTTTCTGTTGGATGCAGTGCTGCAACATGCAGTGCCTGTTTCTTGTCTCCATACCCCCTGAGACAAACTGGGTACGACCATTTCCCACTCTTATTGTCTCCACTGGTTTTAATTTTTGAACGAGTGGGCACGTAAGGTCATCCATTGTAAAAGACGGTTCATGATATGGTTTGAAAGTCCAGTAAGTGAGAGAGGCCTGTGGATTTGGCTGCTGACTAAACACTGAGCTGAGAGAAACTCTGGCTCCAGCAGCAGTTAGGTTTCAAAGCCCTCAGCTGCAGACCCTAAAGGAATTTGCACACCAGTTCTAGAAGATTATACTGTTTATATTAGAGCGGTGTAGTACTGTGTTGCACAGTTTAATCATAAATACATTTAGGATGTTGCATCATGTGTTGGATAAGACAGCTCAGCAGGAAATGCGGTGACTTTTTATTTGTTGTCCAAACTTTTGATTCAGCTGGTGTTCTGTTGTCCACCACCAGGGGTCAGTATGATGACACCACAGAGATCCCTCAGGAACCTCAGGGATGTGTGGAACCAGACACTGCTTGTTTCCCCCTAAAAACTGAAGTTCCCACTCACCACTCTGAAACTCTGATTGTATTTTTGTCCTAGTTATAGTTCAACTATGACACACTGATGACATTCTAATAATGTCTTAATGATGTTTTACAGTGATTTTGGCAAGTGCTTGTATCCTCAACTAAATTATTCCATGATTGTAGAGGACAAGGTTGTGAAGATGTCAGGGAAAAACAGTATCCCTCTGGGAACTGTTATTTATTCTTTAGTAGAAAATAGATTTTCTTAAAACAACTTTAGCAAATAAAAGAACGTCCCTTAGTTAATATTGAAATGAGAAAAAAGACTGAACTCGAGCATTACCTTTTTATTAAAAAGGCCCGATGTTTCTGTTTGACTAAAGGATATAGATCCAAGTGTTCATATGAGAAGGACCGATTTAGGTCCAAGTCAAACAAACCTCAAGTTCAGTTCTTTTTCCTGTTCTTTCAGGGGATTCATATGGCACAGCCTCTGTGGCCAAGACAAGCTTCCATATGAAGAGGAGCCTAATTAAAGCCTCGCCTCAGGATGAGAAAGTTGAATTCTTTAGTTTGTGCAACGTTAACATATTTCTATCAAAACCTTTAAAAAAAAGATTTACTTAGATCCTCCCCGGTAAGTCTGGTTCATACCCATCTGAAGGAAAGTTTTAGAAACTCGCCATGTAAAGTTGTTGGTGGGGCACATAATGATGAGTTTTCCACCATTATAAACTGTCCATCGACTGGTGTTTTAAGGTTTCCATTCAGCATTGGGCTGCTTTCCTGTTGCTGAGCTGTAATCTGGCATTATGACTGATTGATAGTGGTTGGATGGCAACCGATAGGGGTGAGAAGTCATTGTTACATACGTCCCCTTTAGATGCCCCATCAGCCATCCTCACATCCAAACTTTTGTGTGTTTGGTCATTTCACACATGCGTACAGTAAAAACAACGGGTCATTAAACATAAGATCACGCGAATATTGAAGATGATGTCCTAAAGACTGGTAAAATGATACATGTAAACATGTTTCATACAAACAAGTTTGTGAATATTTTAAGGATGTGCTACAATGCAAAAGAGTAAAGTTCTCTGTCGACTGACATGGTGAAGTCACTGAACTGAAAGGACGCTTACATGACTGATCCTACTGTATATCAAAGCCTTCTAGTTCAACAGATATTTCTACTGGTTTTCGTTTCACAAGAGAACTTGACACGGCACAGTCCAGTTTTGTGTTCTTGTTTTTCCATCTGTTTAAGGCTGTGCACACACAAACAGGTTTTGGCTGCTTAGTTTAAACTGCCACGTTAAAATGTTTTTTCTTTTTATTTAATAGCCCATTTTTATAGACCAAATCAACAAAACAAGACCTCCTTTCTTTAAACCCCTTTAATTCTTAATATCTCTGGACTACAACAATTTGTGTTTCTATCAGTCTGTCTTGTTTCACTGCTCTTTCACTCACAACCTCCCTTTACTTTCTTTAATGTTTTTCCTCATGTTTTCCACCTCTTCTGTTAGTCTCAGTGCATTTTGATATTAACCTCTGTCTGCCCGTATTCTTTTTGAAGGTGAGGCTAGTGCGCTCCAATCCCCCCAGCCCGCAGTTCAAAGCCTCATTCGACGCCTCTTACCAGGTGTACAAACTCTACCAGATGGCCATTCACAAGGATCCTCCTGAAAAACCCTCCGAGAGCCAGGTCAGAGGGTGGTAGGCATAGGTTAACACTCTGTTGGGCACTCAGGGAGGGTGAGGGTATTTTTGTATAAATCAGATATTTAATTTGTTCTTTTTATAATTACTTCATATTGAGTTTAATTCTGATACCAAGACACAGCATTGTATAAATTGTACTTTACCTGTAATGAGAATTATTTTTCTTCGATTTCTATTTCTGTGATATCTCAAATCTATGGCTGTACATACATATCGAAATATCAAAATTAGATTGGACTTGATTATTTTTGCTCTAACTCTGGGGTAAGACTGCTGTGGGAGTAAAAAGAGCTTTGAAGGGAAAGAAGGCAAGTAACAAGTTACTATTTAAGCCAGAGTATGTTTATAAATCTGCGAATCAAAGGGAGAGGAAATTGGGGGCAAAAATGTTTCCATATGCTACGGTTGAGAGCGGTGTTTCTCCAGGTGTCTGTGTTGGCCCTTGTTCTACCAGTCGGGTCTGTAGTCTTGAACTGTTTGAGGTGGCAGGTTGTCAGCTGAACCCCCTCGACCTTCACACATTTACCTCGTGTCGTGTCCAACCGCCCCCCCCCCCCCCCCCATAACGATAGCTCGCATGTCAGAGGTGGAATATATTTTTAAGAATAAGTAGGGAGGTCATGAAATTTTAATTATGTCTTTGCGTGCAGTTTTCCTTCTGTTGTTTACCTTTTAAAAAAATATTTATTCCCGTTTTTTGTGCAAAAAACCCTTCTCTGTGTCTGTTTCTGACCCTAGAGTCATGAATTGCCAGTCCTTCCTTAGTGATCTGCTGTTTCTGCTGGGTGGTGCACTAGCCTCATCTTCAAGATCATCATCAGTCTCCTAAAATCAAATGTTTTGCCTTCACTGTGTGCGTGTTCTGTGTACAACAGCCTGATAAAATGAAGTTTGAAATGCAGAACAGACTTGCTTTCTAGTTACCCTGCCCCCAAGGCCTTTGGCCACCCTAATATCTTAAAACACTTTGTTCCTCTCAGTTCCTTCCCTATCCATACCTCCATTATCTCTATTTCTGTTCTCACATTTATTTCCTATTCCTGTTTTCAATTTACTGTCTTCATATTCATTGTTAATCCTTGAATCCAACCCCCTCTCCATCCCTGCCTCATCTCCTCCACATCTTGTGCTTGAAGGTGAGGCTAGTGCCTGTCAACTTTGAGGACCCTCAGTTCGCAGAGTCCTATCAGCAGTCGGTGGCATTGTACGCCTGCTACCAGATGGCCATTCATGGTGATGACCCCAGCGAATGTAGTGAGAGTGAGGTACTGCATGATTATTATTCAGCACCTGCTTGGGAACTTCTGTATCTGCTCTTTCCAGCTTCTCGATGCTTCTCTGTGGTTTACATTTGGACTTTCCATTTCGCACGCAGTTTTTAAAAAAAAACAAATCGATTTTTTTTTTCAAGCAAGTGTCCATTGAAATAATGGTCAGATCTGAAGATGTGAAGAAGAAGAATGATTTTATTCATAAAAGAAACGTTCTCTGCCGTGTTACAGAAAGTTCTGTGGTCTTAATGAGATGGACTAAATGAGAATATAAATGAAAATATATATTTTAACCAGAAGATCCATAATGTTAAAAATGGATTTATAACACACAGTGAACTATATTCCTGATTGTATGTTTGCACACCTTTATTTTTCTTCTTAATATTTGACTGAAAAGGGAGCAAATAAATTCTAGTCAGGTTGCCGGAATCCTGGACAACCTGAGAGGGCCTTTTGTCCCTCTGGGCTGGAAAAAAAACGCCTCCCCCTCCACCCCTCTGCCAGCAGGCTGCAGTAAATTTACTAAATTCTCCATCTTGTAAAAGTACGGTAATTAATAAATAATGAAAGCTGTCAGATTGGGCAGACTGTAGCAGATTCTTTCCTGGTGCCATAACACTGGCTCTATTAAAAGTAGTGCGTGTGTTTGCGCGAATAGCTTCAGCTCAAGGAAATAACCACCGAGATTTGTTGGTTTAGGAATAACGTCTTAGAAAAAATGCCTCAAATTAAAGGTGTGGAGTTGCACTAAGGTCTTAGCTGTCTGTTAAGTTTCCAGAAAATGTAGTTACTTTAAAAAATATATATATATTAATTGATTTTCCGTGTTGGATACCTACTGAATGTCGTGCCAGAGCACTGAGTGAATAAAGGCTGGCCTAATCACTGCAACAGGCAAAACCTATTCATTGTAATTCACCGGGTAAACTACCTTTAGGCGTCGTATTAGTAGTAATGACAGGCAGTGTAGCAACAACCCGTACTTTATTTTACTGTGTTTAATCAGCCTGTTCAGCTCACACATGTAGACTTTTGTCTGTTCTGGAAATGTTGAGGAGATGGATGCAACTGACTCTCAAAGCACTGCTTTGTGATCAACCCTGAAAAAAAAAAAAAAAAAAAAGGAACAGCGTGATCAGGATGTTTTTTTCTCTAACTTAAGAGAAAGAGGTTGCTCTGCTCCCTTTCGATTCATCCCACTAGACTAAACCCTAATCGTTTCTACTCTAAGCCCGTTGACACACATCTCTGAACGGACAACTCCAGCTCATTTAGTTTTCTTACCTGTGAAGCTTTATCAAGCCGTTGAATTATTTATTACTTGTGGCACATATTGGTTTCATGCCATTTGGTGCCTGCTGCTGCTACCTACAATCTTTGGTCATTTAGTGTTTGTAGAGGTATTTATTAATCCATTACATTATTACCTAAGGACACAATCTGGCTTAACATCAGTCTGGCCCTGAGCCAGGCAATAGTAGAAACTGTGTGGGCGTGCAAGTTGAAATATCCTGCCAAGATTGGAAAATAACTTTGTTTGTCTCACGATATATATGCGTTTCTTGTCATAGCTTGACTGTAAAGGAGCCAGAAATATTCCTTTCCCCTTCTAATGTTGGCTTCCTGATGGAGTTGAAGCATATGCGTGCAATCATTTCGATGCATGGTGCACGCATTTAAAGTCTTTGCCGCTCAGTGGTCTCAACTGGATGCAGAGCCATCACTCATCACCTGCAAAGGTGTAAAAAGACCGTAAATGGGGTATCTGTATGTACTCTAGAGCAGAACACTTCAATGGGTCATAAGAAGTTAAGCAAAGAGAACAATCTGTGGGTTGTTTTTGTGAAATTGAAGTGTACATTCTGTCACTTTGTCACTTAGATAAGGGAACAAAAAGCACAGTGACGAGAGGCCTAAGTGGCAATTAGGCTTAAGCTGTGCGGGTAAATTGACTGTGTGTGAGAGTGAAGACTCAGCTGTGTGTGTGTGTGTATGTATAAGAGAGATGTCTAATTGTGTACAGATGGGTATTTACCATTAGAAAGCGAGTTACACAGAGAAGAGAAAGAGTTGGACTCCATGTGTTGATGCAGAAGAGGATGTTCCAAAAACTACAATAGATCCATCTATGTTTAGTCTTTTTTAGGTTAGTTTTTACAATTGCCTATGAGGATGGAAGGATATAACGTTGCTAATATTTGAAGTTAAGCACAGATCTGTTTTGATGTTGCTCCTTATACTAGAAGAAGAAAAAGGAAGAAGTCACTTTACTGGCCAAATGTACAATTTAGACCCCATATCTCCCGGTGGCTGTGAGGGTGATGTGTTTATGTGTTTGTCTTTTGTGCTAAAAGAGAGGGATAAGGAGGTGCTCAGAGCTGACGCACACTTTCCACTTTCTGCATTTGCATGCATTAAACAGCGTGAAGACATAAAAATGAACACTTAACTTTGGCTTTTTAAATACTCCAACATTTTTACCAGGAGGTCATTTTGGCTCTCACACAGCATCCAAACTCAGTAAATGTTGTCATCTAATAACCAAAGTTGTTGTTCTGTTGGTAAACCAGCAGTTTTTTTTATTTTTTCGGTGAGCTTGAAACAAAAGCTTCATCTATGACGTTCTGCTATTGTGCACTCTTGGAAGCTCTGCTGCTGGTAATTTCAGAGGCAGTAGTCACTGCACAGTCAGGAGTGGAAAATTACTCTTTACTGGCAAAGTTACACAGGTGGAGGAACTTGACGAGCATTTTCGCACACTAGCAAAAAAAAAAATCATTGCTGACTGAGCAGAATTAGTCACTACCCTTCCCACATTGGTAAAGAAAAGTTTTGGGTTTCCTTAAAAGAACAACTTCTCCACGTATAAAGCAGTATAGATTTTATTAGAAAGATTGGCAGTCAGTTAATTGGAATTTCACAATATCAATGACAGAAAACCCCTCAGGTGCACTCTACTCGTGGGCTCAAAGGCTAGTGAAGTGGTTGATTAGACTACAATGATGTAAAGTAACCATACGATTGCAGAATTAGTTAAGCATTTGAGTAATGCTGGCCCCACTCTATTGCCTCACTGCCAGCCTGTGTCCAGAGGCAGCGTGTTGCATGTTTTGAAAGTTCAGCACCACAGGGAGTTCGCTTTGTGAGACTGTTATGGTTCTCAAATAAATCTCTCCACAAGAACTCTGTGCACCTCTGAGCTGATGCAGAAATTCTTACATTGAATTTTTGTGCCGATTTGCAGCATAAACTTCCAGCACGCCGGGTTTAAAGTTGAAATATTTGGACTCTGAAACAGAGACAGAAACGCATTAAATTATTTTTACTATTTAATTGCACGAATGGCTGGCACTTTCTTTTAAAAGATGCCTTGATGCACCTTTTTTAAAACTCTGTTACTATTCAGAAAAGGACAAATCAAACACTGGCTGCAGGGCATGCCTATCAGATTTGTCATGGTTAGCATTGGTTGGCTGGAGGTGGTAGTAGTGGGGGGGGGGGGCGTTCAGTTGATTGCAGTACGCTGTTTGTGCCACTTGGTTACACAACATACCACTTGTGGAGCTTTGAAATATCTTTAAGGTCAAGTCATTTTTCTGACGGGATTTCACCCGAATGGGTGTGCTCGACATTTCGTAAAACTCTTGTTTACTTCAGGGAAAAGCACAAGAAATTCAAGAGCGCGCCAAAGTGCAAAAGACAGCTGACAGCGTCATCGGGGTCTTTTCTGCCAGAGAGTGACCCCGTGTTAAAGGAAACTCCATTAGTGACATCAACACACACATAAGCTGTGTCGAACAGATGGAGAAAGGCGCTCTCATTTTGGATTAGTTTAGGCCTTTGGCAGAATTTTCTGTTGCAGCCAAGCCAGGACTGCCCCACCTACCAAACAGCCTCAGCTTTAACTGTTCCAAGCTCAACTGCTGTGCACAGACTTGAAAACATAAGGCAATGAAGTGCTCCTATAGAATCTGGATGTTAATTAAAAAAAAGTTACCATTTCATCCTCAATCAAAGCATAATCGTATGTTAATTTCTGACCTTTCAACACAAATCAGTGTTGACTTTCCAATTAGTCCAACCTGAACCAGTGACACGTTACGAAATGGAATGCTGTACAAACAAGCCCTTTGCAATCGACTCGAAGGTTGAGTATATCTGCAGAATAGGTGATCGAGCTGTTTTTTTAGTTTAAAAAGGAAAAAAAATAAGTACTGTCCAAAACCACCAAGTGGTTGTTTTTCTTCTTCCTGTAATAAAACGGTTTGGAGCTCAAACATGGAAGCATGAGTTTTTCATCCTTCTGGCCTCCACATCTGAAAACACACCGCTCTCAACTCTGTGGCTCGAATAGAGCCAAGGAAATGGTATAGATAATGGAAGGATTATTTAATTTTCCTCATGTTTAAAGACCCCCCCCTGAGTAATTGATAGGCAGTGTGTATTTTACAGTGTGATGAGAGATAGGCTCTGGCATGGGCAGCGCTGCTTATTTTAGCTGTCACTGTGTTCTCCTTAGAGTATTAGCCTCAGTTGATTAGGTAAATGTTTTCATTTGTGTAAATAAAGTCTTCCTTTCTATGCCGGAATGGGGTTGGTGATACTAGAGTCAGAAGAAAATGGGCAGGGATAAACTTTATAGCACAGCAAAAGACACGTGATACGTTTTCATTTATGCTTTAAAAAAAAAAAAAAGTCACTAACTTCTTTTTTATTTCCCCCCTCTGTTTCCCTCCACTCTGCTTCCTGCCACAGTTCCGGAGATTTCTCTGTGATTCACCACTAGAGGTATGTATTTTCTTTGGCCTGTTGTCAGTAAAGTTTAAAAGCTCTGTTTGAATGTCAGCATCCATCCATACGATACCTTTTTACCTGAAATGGTTTGCTCCTACCGGGAGAGTTTCCTGATTAGATTACTGTCACGAAGATGAGGATGATCATGATTTGAAAAATGTGCTGGGCTGCCATGTGTGGTTCTTCATTACACACACTCAAAAGGGAATGAATATACACCACGTCTCCTGGTTCAGCACAGTCTCCCTTCACTGCAGAACCCTCCATCTGGATGGAGAGGAGCTACGGGATTCTTGGAGTTTAAAAAAAAGAAAAATATATATATATTGGAGGGGTTTTAATTAAGTCCTATCTAAGTAAAAGTGGGTGTTGAGAAAGAAAATGTGGTGTCCAGATTGCACTGTGACTGTGGGGAACATAAGTCCTTCAGAGCAGTTTCTTTCCTGGCTTCGACTGCCTGGGACATACCAGGATTTCTCTCTTTGTGTGGTGTGGTACAAATTACAGGCTGATGAGGCTCCTCCGCAGCCATCGATACAGAGACGGAACCAATGGCTACTGCTGTATTAAACACAGAGAGAATATGATGTCAGCCTCTGGTGCATGATTAAATGAAGATTATAATAACTGAAGAGAGTTCATGGCCAATACAAGGTTGTCTCCATGATCACTAAGTGAGACAAAGCCAGGCTTTGCTGCATCCCTCAGAAACGACATTGGACCTGTTGGGTCAGGGCTATTACACCAGCAATTAGACCCAAGATGGGTGCTTATTACAGCCATTTTAATGGGATTGAGGTCCAGCAGCACACTTAAACTGACGGACACATACACAGTCACTCTGTTTTGCCCTGTGGGCCCCCTTGGGTCTTTACTAATGAACATCATTAGTGTTTATAGGAAACAAGCTTTTATCACCTCGTCAAGGCTGGCGACCAGGCACACTGAATTACACAGTTCAGCTCAGACACACACACGCACACACACACATATGTGTTCACACTGTGGCACAGTGCCTGACATATTTTCCTACTTTCTCTGTTTCTTCCTCTAACATTGGTTTCGGGCAGCATCTCCTTTCATTTTTGCTTCCTCTTGCACAACTTATTTTTTGTTTTTCTCTCCGTGATCTCCTGTCTCGCTCCAACTGCGTTTTCTGTTTCTGAATTATTATGCATGAAAATCTGCGTGTTTTTCCTCCATCTGTCTCCAATCACAGCGCCATTAAAGTGCTCACACACAGAGGCCTGTGTGGTTCAGCTCACATGTAAGCCTGCATTTCTGTAAACGTATGCAAACTGCCTGCCTCCAAATCCGGCTGCAGGTGCTCGACTTGTTTGTTTGTTGCTGCGTTCCATTTCACAAAAATTGCAGAGGATTCACGCTGAAACTTGGGTAATTAGCATCAGCTTGCTCCGATTGCTCTGTTCTTTTCCAGTACATTTACACGGAGAAACAGAAAAGAGTAACATTTCAGGGCTCTCAGATGTACACAGGATGAGCAGCAGTCATGTATGTATCAACACATTGCTGAGATCAAAGGAGTACGTGATGGAAGAAATTTGGTCCAGAAATTTTGTGAAAAAAAACAAAAAATGGGGAGCTCAGGCCGGTAACATTGCTCCTCTGAATTATAGATTGCCAGTACAAAAAAATGCACCCCCAATAAGACAGGAAAAAATGAGAATGTTATTTTTTCTTTTTTGGAACTAGTATGAGCTAATGATGTGAGCCGCATGTGGAGTGACACATCTGTTGGGTTTGAAATGTGTTAATTAGGCCTTTTGTTGTTCAGTTTGACAACTACATAATTGCTAGAACAGATCAGATGAACCCGCTACTGTAGACAAGTTAAAGGCTTGTTTATCCATTTTTACTCAGAACTAATTAAAGGTTCAATTCATAATATCCATCCATTTTCAATACCACTTATTTCTAGTTGAGTCAGGTGAGCACAACGGCTCAGGCACTTTATAGGACTGAATGACTTTACTTTTATATACTTCAGCTTGTTTTTAATAAAGTTCACTTTGTTTTATTGTTCTTATTTGGGAGGAAATAAATCTTGAATATAACTCCAAACAGGTTACCACCTCCTACCGCTGCTATGTATGCAACTCGCATGGCCTTGTGTTTAGGCCATATGTGAGTGATTTAAGGGCTGCTGGGGAAGCTCTGGGGTGGTTTAAAGTGTTCCAGGGAATGTTAAGATTGTTGCCACGGTGACAAGGACACAATATTAAGCTGTCCCTTGAGGTGGTGCACAGGTCAGTCAGGCTAGATCAGCCCTGAGCTCAGTATGATCTTCTAAACAAACACACAAACCTACAAAAGAAAGTCATTGCTTCTCTTGCCCAGACGTTCACATTTGGGTAATGTTGCTGAAGTGTGTATGCCTTAGGTGGGGTAAGAAAAATCTCTGAGTGCTCTTTCCTTTTACTTATTACTTGTAAATGACCGAGTGGCGCCTTTGACAAAGACTCCAGTGTTTTTTGGGCCAATCGGTGCCAAGACATAACAGGCTGCTGCTCTCAGAGACGGACAGCTCACTCCACAGTGGGCACGCTGCAGCGTAGAGTGCAGGGCCGTGCCCATATTTGGTGGCTGTCACTTCCCCGACTTCCTGTCCAAGAACAGATTTCGGTTTTATTCTTCACTCAAAAACTACAAACACGAAATTACTGACTTGCATTGTGTCAAGCGGACCATGTGTGCACTATGAGAAGAAAAACAACAAAAAGAAAAGAAAAAACTTGCCATCTCCACTTAGAAAAGCATCAGGTTATGTGTGTGTGTGTGTGTGTGTGTGCTTGCCTTGTTTCTTTTTGGGTCAGTTTTAATTTGGCCAGAGTGCGGGCCCAGCGGTGCACCAGATTAGTCCTCCAGCTCCCTGTGTTATGATAACCAGCAGCGTCTGCGTTACTTAACTGTGTCCAGATGAATGCTGGTGACGGAGTGGGATCCTATTACCAGCGCGCCGAAGACAGACATACTCAGACAAACACAAAACCTAGACCCTAGCTTAATGTGACTTTTAACCCCGGCCCCAAGCCTCTCGTCTTAAGCCTCTGAGATAAAAGCAGAAAAAGTCAATTGATTGCGAAACCCAGCATGTGAATCCTTCTGAGAAACGCGATGTGTGTCAAAAGCGTAAGTGTTTTGTTAATGGGGTAGACTGGAGCACACGGCTGCACACCTACACCCACATTCCTGTAAGCCACACGGAAAGAGCAGACGCAGACTTGTGCCTGTATGCTTGGCAAGGCTCCACCACCACATAGTGAAATGCATTTTGCTCACGCAGGGTCTTTTATTAAAAAGTCCTCTCCTGGCGTGTTTCTGTGGCCAGTTGCTCACACCGCCCAGCCCCAGCTCCTCCCCCCTGCTCCAGCTTTCACTCCACATTTGGGAGCCATTAGCTGGCTGAATGTGAGGCTACTGTACACCCCCACACATAATGCACGAGGCCTGCCAGGGTATGGCAGGGGTTAAAATACATCATCACAGGTGTGTGTGTGTGTGTGTATCAGTGCAAGAAAGTGGACACTGTCCTAATAAATGCCAATTTTTGCATCTCACTTTGATTCCTTTGTTTTAGCATACAGACTTTCTGTCATCCAAAAGTAGTAAACAGAGGCTGGATTTCCTCTTATTTTCCCTCTTGTGTCTTTCCTCAGGCGGAACATTCTCCGGAGGGTCCTGAGGTGGGATACGGCTCTTTCCACCAGCAGTACTGGCTGGACGGGCGCATTGTGGCGGTGGGAGTGATCGACATCTTGCCCACCTGCGTGTCCTCCGTCTACCTGTACTACCACCCAGACTTTGCCTCGCTGTCTTTGGGCTCCTACTCGGCTCTCAGGTCAATTGCCAAATATAATAATCGTTTCTGTTTCATGAAAAATAAGATCACACTGGTCACAAAGAATGTGCAGCAGTTTCTTTATTTTTTCTTTCTGTCGATTAGTTCAACTGTTTTCTTTGAGCTTTTACTCTGCACTTATGTAACTCTGTGCAAGTTGATACACGCCCATGCGAAATTACCAAGTTAATATGCCAAGTTATTCAAATTGACTTTGTGTTTTACATTTTTTATTTACGCACAACAAGCAGAAACTTAGAAGCTAGATTAAAAGTACAGACCATGATCAATGAGGAGCAATTGAGAACATCTGTGATTTCCAGTCTGTCTAACTAAATGGACATAATCTGCAAACTGACCCGTGAGCACCAGATTGTTCTCGGTTTTGGACTCACCCCCTGTGTACATCTGCATGTCGTTAACCTGGCCCAACTTGCTGAAGGATTGCCTGAGGAAATGAATGATATAAGCTGGAAGGCTTTGTGCGTCTTATGGGGCTGATCAGTAGAAATTAAGTGTAAGAAGTGTAATGAAGTTAAAGACTGGAGCTGATGTGACGTACCTCGCTCGTCACCGGTTAAACGACAACAGCGCGCTGAAGCAACAGTAAGCTGAATAGGTCACTACCTCCGTTGCTGCTCATATTGGGCAGCTCACTGGGGGAAAAAACAAAACAAAACTGTATGTTTGAACAACAAATTAAAAACGGAAACTCCAAAACTGCATAAATTTATCGTTGATGGATTTTTTTCCTGTCCTTATCGAACAATGAAGTGGGCTTTTTTTTTTTTCTTCTTCATGTTTATTTTTCTTCTCCTTCCCGGAGAGGGCTCGTCTCGGCCAGCACCACCCAAACAGACATCTGTTGTATCTGCCCGCTGTTGTCCAGGCGGTCTGGTCTGCGTTCTGACCGGCAGTGTGAAAGCACCCTGAGGATCTGTGACAGCTCAGGCATGATGTCAAACTTTATGGATCGTGTGTAGTTAAACAGATAGCTTGCTCTTTAAGGTGTGAGTGTTGAGCAGATGGCAGTAATAGCCTGCAGATACACTACAAAACCTGCTGTACGGTGTGACATACTCCTGGCATTATAATGATCCAGAATACTGTATACTTGAAATGATTTCTGAAATATAACATGGTTCTTTACTGCATTGGCTCTCAATTCAGAGCATTAGTTGTCCTGCCTAACGTCTTTGATCGTTGCGCGCTTCCTATTCTTTTATGTTTGCCCTCCCCTCAGCCTGCTCTCTTTCTGACTCTTCTTGATCTTTTCACCTCCTGCCAAGCGTTTTTCTTTTAGAACTTTATACTATACATAAGCACCATAAGTCTTCAGGTCTGGAAAAAATACCTCTTTCTTCACACTGTATTGGCTGCGGCATCGCTCTGTTTGCGGTTAAGCCGACGAGTTTTCTCTCTTCAAACTGAAATAAGAGAGCGCTCGTTTGCTCCACACATATCCACAGTTTACTGTAAAACCTAATTAGATAATATGAGAAAGTTTGTTATGCTTTTGTTCTCCTTCTTTTTTTAAAAGCGATCTCTGCACAGATGTGGCGCATAGGGGGAATCTCTGCGTGTGAGATGTTGCGATGAGAGTTTCAAGTGTTCAGCCATATGCGTTGATGAAATCATGCACCAAATCAGTGCAGCTGAGGTCCGGATTTTTTGCCGCTGCGCACATGGAAGGAACTCCCTGGTCATCCTAAGTACACAGTCCCCCTTCACTTATGTCGAGAGTCAGTGTCCAAGAGTAACACAGAGGGTTGGTGTGTGGAGGAGGCCGTGGAGAAGGGAGCCAGCGCCAGTGAAATCCTCTCATTTGTTTACAGACACGGGTGCATGGGTCTTTGATCCGGCCTGAGCTCTCAGACCTCGGCCCGGCCCTGTTGGCTCGGGCCACAGCCCCCTGTAAAGAATGCAGGTGCTTCCTCCACCCCCGTCCCCAACCATTTTACTGTCCAGTTATTGGAACTTTGCTCTTTCTTAGAAAGTTTAGATCATGGAAAGTTCTGGATTTTGACCTCAGTGGGTGCCATGAATATTAGTCAGTATTTTTCCTTTTATGATTTTAAAGATATAGAACATTTGTTGTTTTTTTTAAAGTGTGTCAATATGTTAGCATTTAAGGGAAATTAGTTTTTCATTACATTTTGAAAAGGGTTCGGGTCTACTTGTGAATAAGTGTAATTCAGCAGTAAAACAGAAGAGGGGGGTGTTGAGGGAGCAGTCTGGCAGTAGTTTTGGTGCCTCTGCCACAGGCTTTGAGGACAGGAGGAAGGGGAGCAAAAGCAAAGAGTTGCATAATGAACCGCCCGAGGGTCTGCGTGTAGGAAACGCAGCTGGTGTCCAACCTTCCTCCTTTTTTATCTCAACTCCAAACCAAAATATTCATCACTTTCTGACAAGGAATTTGATCCTGTGCTTTTTATTCAAATGATATTTTACTCAACGCAGTAGAAGAAACTCTAGATTTGTGGCAACCGTACATGGGCAAAACTATTTTTATAAGTTAGAACTGCTAAAAAAAAAAAGAAAGAAAAGAAAGAAAGAAAAAAAAAAAGATCTGCTTCTGAAATCTATACGCCAGAAAATACTGCAAACGATTCTTCAGAATATTTCCTCTCAGCACTGGTTTGGTTAATGAAATGTTCCCTAAAGCTTTTGTGGGCACCTCATGGTATGCGCTCTTATGGGCCCTTTGTGTCTGGGTGTGTGTGTATGCACATCAGTATGAGGGGAGCGGTGCGGGAGCAGAGGGCTCGATAATTGGCTTGTGCTGGAGTGTCAGATGGCTGAAGAGGGGATAATGGCGGACTCAAGCTGCTGCCATGGGGGTGAGGGTGGGGGTGTGAAGGCCTCAAGTGAAGGGAGGGGGGGGGGGTTGCACGGCTTTTTGTGAATGGGCCCCTCGCCTCTCTTGACCCCCCCTCCCCCAATTCAAGCCCCCCGGGCCCTTTTGTAGGGAGAGGATGGGAACCCAGGAACCTGGCAGAAAGCGGGTGACCTTCTAGCACCTCGCTCTCGCTGCCTCTCTTCTCCGTCCCTTTTTTCCGTCTTGACCCTCCTCTTTTATATTCTCCTCCCGCTCGCTGTCTCCCTGTGTCTCCCCCTCCCAGGCCTGCCTCGCTTTGTCCCATGTCTTATTTTGCAGTGCATCCATTTTATTTTAAGGCCTCTTTCCCTGTCTCTCAAGTATTGGAAGAAAGGGACTTCTCCCCCTTCCTTTAGGCAGCTGAAACACAGAGCAGTGGAAGGAAGAGTGAAACAAAAAGAAGGAAAAAAAGGGGAGCTGGAATTTAGTTATGGAAGAGCAAAGGAAACGGCAGAAGGAAAGGAGGAAAATAGGCTTTCAGCTAAAGGATGCAATTAAAGAAGAAACTATTGAAGGAAAAATAAAGCAGGCAAGACATTTACTGTATTTGAAGAAGGTATATAAATCCTCTGTGTTCTAAATCTTTATTTTACACGCTCTCTTCCCAACTTTTTCCAATACCTTCCTTTTTGCTTGAAGGCTCAATACCACTTTATAGAAGGCAGTTGTTTTTGTGTAATGACATGAGACTGAGAGAAGCAGACTTTTTTTCAGAAGAGGTGTTTTCTTCCTCAGCTTGGGCACTGGCCTGTTCAGAGGTGTAATTTAATTTTTTAAAGCCTTCAAACTGACACTGTTGGTAAATGGAACATGCCTTGCGTTAGTTTGTGTAAATTTTATTTAGATGTTGAAATCTGCTTGTTGTATGAACTAAAAAGAAAAGGCAAAAACCTCTACCGCTATTCAAAGAAATGCAAACATTTCCAGCTGAAACAAGAAACGAGTCGATGCAGCATTAAATTTGACTAGCATGAAAGAAAGTGCTGTAAATAATGTAATGTAATAAATAATGTAATGTAAACACCTTTCATGAAGGGGTTGCTTTTTCTTCCGGGGCCTCTGAAAAACTGTGTGTGTTTTCCACTACAGGGAGATTGCCTTCACCAGGCAGCTGCAGAAACAGTCCCCCAAGCTTGCCTACTACTACCTGGGCTTCTACATTCACTCCTGCCCAAAGATGCGATATAAGGTTTGTGTAATTTTACATGCATGCATGATTTCCAACCCTTTTATCAAATTGCTCAAATGATTAGAAGGGCCAGGAGTGAAATTGAAATGGGAAATTGGAGTAAGTTTCACATTTTTCACTGATTATACTCGGTCACAGGACATACTAGAGGAAGTGCATTCACCTAAACTAGTTCTAAAATTAAGTTTAGGTAAGTGATGCCTTAATTAAGTTGAGTTATGACATTCCTTTTTTTTTTATTTAACACTTTTACCACAGTGTCAACCCAATTATCAGTGCAAAAAGCATTGATTCTGGTTGTTACAAAGATGCATGGTTGTTCAAAGAATATGCAAAGACATGTCTTCCCGTCCCGTGTAAATGTTCAAGGGTTGACAAAAAGCATTTAAAATAAATGAGGTTGAGGTATAAGTGTCATATATACACACATTTCCATGATTCATTACTAATCTAGCCTTAAATTTTGGACTGCAATGTAGCACCAAACGGTACCAGAGTGGAACACATGTGGCTGTTCTTTGTTTCTGATATCAAATGAAATTGCATTTATTTTAAAGATGCCTCACTCAAACCTTTCCAATACAAGGTTCCAACAGGTTTAATGTGGGTTTAACATCCTCATCAATGAATCACATTCGATGACCCCCTTTGTCTGCTCATTCTCTCGTATCCCTTGGCCTTATTAGTGCTGACATGAAGGTAAAGCAAAGCAATGATGCACTGAACAAAGAGTTATGATATGCTTGTTAGGGGGGTAAAATGGCATATTTTATCACAGCGGCTCTAATCAAATCCATCTGCGCCTGTCAGAGTTTGAAAGTTATATCTTAGATATTGTCCAAGGCAGTAGTGTTTACTTATGTTCTTATCTCTCCTTTCTTTGAGAGTTCCACCTTGTGATTTAATGTATCGTGCAGAGTTTGGACTCGTTTGGACTCAGTGACACATATGAAGGATGTTAAATAATGTAAAAATCAGTAATTGTATTTCACTCCAATGTAATTAGAGTGATATAGAGTCACCTAGAAGTGGTTAAAAGAGGTCATGCCGCTGTCAGCCAATGTTACCTTTCTGCAATAACTTTTCATGTCAGGTCCGCAAATGTTTGCACATCATTAAAGAGCAGTTTCTGTGAGGACATTTCAAATACATAATTCATCTGTACACATGCTCGCATTCAGGCCACGCATCACTTAAAGATCTACAGCTTCAGGAGGACGGTGAAAGAAAACGGTTTGTCCAGGTCTATTAGCTTGGCTGAGATTTACCATTCATTCTTCTTTCAATCATTCATTTACTAATGCCTCTATTTCTCTGTTATTTCATTCAGACGTTCCCAGAGCTTGTTCATGTCCATGAGAGACTGATGTCTTGTTGAAGATTATGGCAAAGTGCCAAACCTTTTTATCCATTTGCATCTTGTTTTCAGGGGTTTGCACAGCGCTTTGCTCAGTTGCCCAGTTTGGGAATGTTCGCGTGGAGTGTGCATGAATGCTTTAGGTCCGTTTATACGTCTGTGTGTTGAATCTTGATCATAATGTCTGTATGAGAACTCACGCTGTTACCCCATTACCTTACCCCTCCTCACACTGGCATTTACTACCCCTTCCCCCATAGCTTTTCTTGTGTGTTTGTCATTGCAGCGTCTTGTTCACAACCTCCCCACTATTTTCTATTTCACCCTTGGGGAGGAACATAGAACCAGGGTGAGAAGGTTGTCCAGTTCCCACCTTTGGACTCTCAAAATCCCACAGAAACGCACCCACGCTCAAACATGCTCTCAGCACATGCAGTGTCTCACTCTTCTGTGTGATTAGCATACGAGCACCAGTAATTCATTATTGACCAGACGCACTGGGGCATTAAATCAGCAAGGCCGCACCGGATTTGTGTTATGGAGTTTTACTGGTTTCTGTGTCCCAAACCTACTTCTTGCCTCTCGGAGGACCACCACACCACCACTTGAACCCTGCTGACACCACTCAGACACCCTTCCCTCTCTGCACTTTGCCCACTTCACCTTTCCCAGCCCCTCCCTGATTTCTTGTGTGGATTCTCTCTCACCTACATTTTCTGAGACCATGTTGAGAAACCTTTCTGTCCGCCATACTGAGTATGCAGGGTTATAACCATTGCATTCTGAACTGTTTGGATGAATGTTAAAAGTGTTCAGTGATATTTACATGGCGTCAGATGAACTGATAGGTTCAAGGTAGACAAAATGGTGGATGAGTGAATGGCTGTGTGAGGTGACAAACATATGACTTTTTTTTTTCTTCCCCCATTTAGATCTTGGTTGAAGGATAGCCTTTTATGCTAAGTCCCATCAGAGCATTTTAAATGGGACAAGTTAAAAACTTAGCTCTGCCAAAGGCAGGACATGGTCCCGTAGAGCAGCCTTAAAGGGTCCTTGGAAGACTTGACGTCCCGCCAGGAACAGGGGGCCTGTGTCAGACCCACTCTTTTGTTTTCAAAGCTGGGACTGAACGTCCCACAGAGTCTTGGAGCTTTGGCTGGTGGGTTCAGGATTTGACATGACATCCTGCCCTTGGCTTCTGTCCCTGATCCTGTGGTCCTCTCTGGCTCTCTGATGTTGAGCTGTGGAGAGCAGAAGGTGAAGCTGTTGGAGGCTAAATGAGACCAGAGGTCTGCCACTCCTCCTTTTTCATGATGCCTCTCGTAGGATAAAGCTAACATTCATCTGAATGCTTTGGCTTTTGTGACTCTGGAGAGTCAATCGGAGACTTTGTGGAATGAAGTAAATGAAGCTAAATTCTCTGTGTTGACAGTGTTAGACCTACACTTCATACAGAAAAGGACAAAAGTGTCACAAGTACACTCTGTAAATTCTAGCATTCCACTTTTTATGGTGTCTGGTTGTTACAATTACTGTTTAGTATTTTAACTACCTTTTGGTTGAGTTCTGCTCAACATTTTGATGGTTTTAAACCTGCCTGAACTCTTTCTTGGCGTACAAACTTACAGTATTTTTCTCACATTATTATTTTTTCTCTTATAAAATAAAACCATATTGTTCAATAACAGCACAGTCCAGACCCAGCAGCTTGCAAAATGTACCCAGAATTTCACAAGCATTCGCTTTATACAAGTCCACTTGTTATTTTGGCCTGAGCAGTGAAGAAAATCCACTCTATGCTGTAGTGTTTTTCCATTTCTCTGTGGAGGTAAGGATTTGTCTGATGACTTGTCTGTTTGAGTTACTTGTGAGGGGACTTTGATGATAACAAATGAAGCATCCACCCACTTGGCTTCACTAAAGTAGTACCTGGTCTTACAGTTTCGAGGACTGTTCAAGTGAGGCATGCACATCACATAAACACACATGCTTTGCAGCATGCCCAGCTCCAACCTCTTGGTGAGTGACTGTCAGAATTACATTAAGTGGCTCTTACTCTTGTAGTTATTGTTCGGTGAAAGGATGTCTTGCTTAAAGCCCAGGAAACCGTAAAATTTTCCACAGAGGACCAGAAGAAGAAAAGAGTTAGTGAAAATGAGTGAAAAGAGGAGGAAGGGGACAGATGGAGAGAGAAGGAGCAGTGACAAAATATGTGCCAAATGAGAAAAAGGAGGCAAAGATGAAAAGGATTATTCGTTTCCCGCTGGTACTCGGCTGACTTTTAAAGAGCTCCTTTGCAGCAGCTGCACCTCCGCTCCCTTTCAGCCCAACTCCTCCTCATCCACAAATAACAAAACACCATCAGAGAGCTGGTCAGTTTTCAAGCAACAGCCGACACTTTCCCTCACGGCCAAAGCTTTTGAACTTCGAGGGCCTGAAATGAATCCATCCAGGTGTCGGGCACCGCGTGGTCGGGTGCGCTAGCGTACGACCGACGAAAGAATTCCACATTATTGCTGCTGTGCTAATGTCTGCCTTAACCAGTGTGGGCCCTGGGGCTTTTCTGTCAGCTGCTGCATGAGTTTAGTGCTTATGGCATCAATTAGAAGTGACAGAAGGGCCTCACATTTTAGGCATGTACATCAGGCCTGATTTTCCGTGAGCACGCACACACACACACACACACACGCAAACACACACACACACAGTCGAGGTGCATCGCGAACAATTTTTAAAAAATTAGTTTTTATACTAACCCAGCCTTCTAATTTGACAACCTTTAATTTAAAAAATAAATCTGAAAGGAAATGATTGCGTCATCCACAGACAGATGTATACATAAAGCAACGGATCGGCCTTCCAGCAGAGCTTCTCTCCCAGGTATGCAGTGACAGGTTATGGCATGCTGAAAGCCTCCAAGGCTCAGCCATCAGGTGCATACATGTTTTTCACTGAAGGGGCCCCAATCAGACTGCATGTGTACGTGTGTGACCTCCAATTCTACGTGTCACTTGTTGAACATCTGGGTAGATTGAGAGCGAATCTGAGGCCTCCATCTCGGAAAACGAGGCTTCAGCGCACGGCTTCTTTTACAGGCAGCCTTAAATTTGTATATATGGGCAGAACGTTCTCGTGTATTTGTTTATCGTTCCTCTCCCAGCAGAAACGGCGTGCCGCTTTGATATGTTTCAAGGAGTCTGCAGTGAGCTGCAAATCTACAGGCCCAGGCACAATACAGCCAGCCCTTTTCTCCTGTTTTTTTCTCTAGTTTTTTTTATTTTTTATATGGTCTGTTGTTCTTACAGCAACTGTTCCAAAAAGCGGCCGCCATGCTGGTTGGATGAAAGATTGATAGCGTCTGTAGAAACTTTCAACTGATTCCATCCAGAGATAAAGCGCATGCCAAACACATTTCTCGTAGTTGACTCTAATGTTATCACAAGGCTAGAGAGAAAGGAGAAAGAACTGATTTGGGTTTTTTTTTTTTCCCCATTTCTCCGAATGTCATCTGCATGATACCTCAAACTTTGTTGGTTTAGTTCACAGCTCCTGATTTTTTTTTTTTTTTTAAATGTGCGTTTGCTTTTGAGAAAGTGTTGCTATCCTGTGCCAGCAGCACTGCCCTGCAGCCCAGCAGTCCCAT